ATGACCTAGAGGAATGTCTGAACAAAAACAATGAAAGACAGGTCCGAGGGCCGCGGATTAAAAGTCACCCACCTTTGGCTTGGTAGCATCACTTCCTTTCTGTCCACTGGGCCAACTGATCTCTCTGTGTTGATATTATTGTTGTTATAAATGCCATTGAGTCATAGGTGACTCCTAGTGACCCTATGAAGGCACCTATGAAGGAGAGTCCTTGACACTTGGGTGCCTTTCATCCTCTCTCCAGGTTCGTATGGTTTCCGGAGGCAAGCTATTATGGAAGTCCTTGCAAGCTTATTTTAATCGGGGAGCTCCACCCCACTCTCTGTCCACATTGGGTAGCCAACCATTAACACATTTGACACATCAGTGTCACAGTGGTCAGCCTCACAGCAACCAAAAGTGACCACAGTATGGCAGCTTGTACACCAGGGCTATACGACCTAGAGGAATGTTGGGACAAAAACAATAAAAGACTTGCCTGGCTACTGGCACACACAGGACCATGCTCTCTCTGGCAACCGGGCCATAGCAACCCCGGGCAGAGCAAACCTGGGAGAACATGGCCGCTGTCTCTCCCCTCTTCCTCTTCCGGGCTTGCCAAGCCTGGCTTGCTTGGCTCCTGGAGGCACAGTAGTCCTTCACGTCTGAAAACTGCCACAACACTGGCGCACACAGCACCCTGCTCTCTCTGGCAACTGGGCCATAACCATTGGTTTACATACATCATTCAAAAACATTGTGTTTTACACTGTCCTTCTCTTACACTGTGCTTCAAGCAATCATTCCCATTCATTGTGATTTATTTTACTCCTTTTTTTTTTTACTTTTTCTACTCCTCCCCCACTATCAAATTGTACAACCTAATGATTAATCTCCCTTTCCCTCTGCACATCCACATCCCTCTGCTTCCAGCCTCTCCCACCTTCCTGGATCCTTATACTCATTCTACAATAATGGTTCTATACAATATTTATCCTTATGAGACTGAGTTCACTCAGCATAATATGCTCTTCAGTCCCTCCAAGGGTTTTAAAAAACAAAACAAAAAACCAACCAAACAACACACAAACAACTCTGGTGGTTTAGTGCTAAGCAGTTAATACTAGCATCACAAAGGAACATCATTCAAATCTGCCAGGTGCTCTGTGACAGAAAAGTGGGCAGTCTCCTCCAGTGCTATTTATTGCCTCTGAAAACCTGCTTGGTCATCTGTGTGACTCAACAGGACAGAACAACAACAACAACAACAACAAAGCTTTATAAACATAAAAAACCTTAAGCCTTATGTATTTTAGACATTCAAACTACCGTAACATCAGTAGTGACACAGTTTGATCTTTATAGAGTTCCATGCATGGTATCTGTTCTTTTATGTCTACTATTGTCAAATCTTGATGCAAAAATAAGACTTTAGCCTATTATTGCAATGTTTTGTCTATTTTTTGCTTATGGTGTTTTCTCGCTCGTACTTGGCTAGATAACTTCAAGCATAATAATATAGAACTAGAGAAAGTAAAGTCTGATTATTTTGAAATTTTCAAAATGAAATGTTCATTTGTCTGTCCCCACTACAAATAGCGCAAGATATTTTTAAGAATGAATGTTGAATGTAGTAATTTGAGCACATGAAGTCAATATTGAAAGTTATTTGGATGTCCAGCTCTCCTGTCTTACTCTTTTTTCTATTTTGTCTAAAATCTCTTTTTCTTTTTTTTAAGATTCAAGACCAACATTGAAAAATAAAAATGGCTGACTTTACCCAACTAGGCAAGAATGAGGTGTTCTTAGCCTTTACAACCTATGCAACAATTGTTCTTTTAAAGATGATGTTTATGAGTTCTGCAACTGCATTTTTCAGGGTGACCAAAAAGGTAAGAAATTTGGGTTTGATACCTTCTTTCAAAAGTTGTAATTTTTGAAAGCAATTATCTTATTTTTGTTAATTTTTTACTATTTTTAAAGCCTATTTTAATATATTGTTTAAGGGAACATGCAGTCATTTTAGTATAGATAGACCTCATGTATCTCTGAGACAGTTGCTAGCAAATGATTTTCTTTTTTTTTTCTCTTTGAGGCTTTTACCTTTTGTCATGCTATTTACTAATGGAGTTGTTTGGAATATCAAAATTTCAAGTAAATGATTTGTGATTTTGGTATCAGTTTTGTCAGAGTTAGAAAATTCTTCTTTTTAAGATGGTTAAATGGTATTTTCAGTTCTCTTCTAGATCAAGGATATGACTTTGGGGATCCTTCACCCCCCCCAAAAAAAAAGGCTGAAAATTAAATCCCTTACTCCTACAGCAAAGCTTCTCATGGTTGGGACAGACTATTTTGAATTTTGAACAATAACATTAATTACATTCTTGGAGTTGTGTGACCATTCTCAACCTTCTTTTCTGACTTGTTCCTATACATCAGTATAAACTCATTGCCCCCTAAGATTCCCATTTAACTTCTCTACTTACTGTTGTTGTTCTGTTTCCATATAAAAAAGGGAAATGATCAAGGAACACACATTCATTACCAAACTTTAAGTTAAAGATTATTTTAGGAAATAATTTAATGTGTTAATCCAGCCTCAGTGGCTTCAGAAAAATCAGGCTTTCATAAGAACGAAAAATCCGGTTCCACATTTTTCTTCTTGTTTGTTCTGAATTCTTCTACAGAATCTCTGTCCAATATGTTTAGTCATGGTAGTAGCCAAGTACTACTAAATCAGTATATCTTTCTATCATATTGTTGTTAAGTACCATCAAGTTGAAACGGACCCTTTAACAGGCAGTAAATCACATAAGAGAAGTTACCCATCTTTGTCCTTTGAGTAGCTGGTAGAGCCAAACCATATTTTAAAGTCTTGAGAAATGGAGAAAATATTAGATAGAATCAGGCACAGATTTTTATACAAGCAAGGTAGATGCATAGTGAAAAATAGAGCAAAGTTTAAAAAAAAAGCTTATGGGTGCAGTGCTGAGCCTGTGCGACAGCTTTCCTTGGAAGCCATGTGTCCTGAGTGTTTATTCTCCAGATCCTCACATTAATTACATCTCAAGCAATAACAAGGAAACACTTCTGGGTAGATTTCCCTTCTTTGCTTACTTCTTGAAACTACAGGAACATACTGAGTAATGTCCCTTAGGGCGATGACAGTATTTATGTCTGTGGACAAATAAGTCTTTTTTTGTTTGTTTTTTTTAAAGGGAAAGCAGCTTTCCTTTTGTTTATTATTTCCCTAATGATTTTAAAAATCCACCCCCTACCTACAACTCAGACTCCTACCGCACTGAACCATGGGTGAGAGAGAGGCAGGGTAGACAGAGGACGTGGCTCTAGGTTTGGGCTTTCAGGCTTTGTCTGCCAGGTAGAAAATTGGCTGCAGTAGCGGCTGTGCGACCCCTTAGGCAGGCAGAACAGTAGGCAAGGCTGGGCACACCCGCTACTGCCACCAATAGCCCTGTCCCTCTAGCCTTTCCTGGTAGCTTCAGGGGTAGTATTGACAATGAGGATAACCAAGAGCCAGCTCCCTTAAGATTTTAATATGGTGTTTATAATAATGCCCAAATCCCATAACATCCTGTTTGGCAGAGCATAACATGATGATAAATACCTACCTGGACTGCCAAAAGGACAAGTAGATATATTTTGGAAAAATTGCAGCCAGAGTGGTCTTTGGAGACTAAGATGATGAAGCTTCGTCTCATACTTTGAACATGTAGCTAGGTGAAAAAAGGATATTGTGCTTGGAAAGATGCAAAGACGAGGAAGACTCCCAGTGAGCTGTAGTGGGAGGATGATCAGAATGGCACAGGAAAGGGCAAGGGTC